TTTTACATTCATAATCATAAGCATTGCATGGAATCTTAGGACCAAAAATAGGGTTTGTTATGTATTTAAGTATCTTCAATCGCGTCGAGACAAATATTTTAATCTTCGTGTCTCCGGATAGAAGACACTTAAATAAGGGCAATTATTATACCCCAATTTTTGCCCCTAAGATCCTCTATCAATTCATATCATCACAATGCATCAAGATCACATATTTGGGTGGGATATCTCTTTTGCTTGTTCTCCTATCTTTAGGTTTGCTCACAAGGGATTGTTAAACACCTTAATTGTGTATCTTGTATATATGTGTTCTTATATTTTTACCGACCTCTAATAAAAATACCAAAAATATGTGTACTTTGTTTTTGTATATTTGTGTTTTGTAGGTATCAAGCCAAGGCATCAAACCAACAAATTTTTTTTGACATTTTTCTTCTAAGGAAATTGATTACCCCATATGTGGAAATCGATTTCCCTCACTATTTATGCGCCAGGATTTTAAATTTTTGCAGTGGAAATCGATTTCCTGAGGCAAATTTTGAAAAAAAAAGGGCAATTTTTCAAGTTTTCAGCATTTGGCTCCAATTTACTTTTTTTAGAGAATATTCTTGATTACCAAAAAATAATAGTTCCCCAGCTCATCATAATTAGATTCCATCATACACCCTTATTTGATTACATGTACACCACTTGATTCAATTTTGGCTCCAGAAATCAATTATCAAGCCTAATTTTGTCTCCAAATCACCACTAATCCCAAGCCTAAACTCTATAAATAGAGCCCTCATTTCATTCAATTCTCAAGCTTTTGATATCCAAATTCACCTTGCTAAAAATTCTCTCTACTCTCTTCATCTACCAAATTCACTCAAAGCTCCATTTTCATTGAAGTTAGTAACCTTTTCATTAAAGCTTACTAATCTTTGAGCTAAGCCTTCATACAAACATTTCTTCCTCATTAATTCTCTAGATCAAAGCTTGAGATATTGGTTCTTGAATCTAATTTGAAGCAAATTTTGAAGTTGTTTTGATAATTGTCTATATTTAACCTTTGGTAAGTTGGATCTTCGTCTTTCACAATGTGATCTCTTGTTGATCCTTGTGATTTGATTCTTTGAGCTATTTTTTTATTTCATTGGTACTATTTTCTCATAATTTGATGGAATTTTCGTGCTCAGTTAAATCTATGATCATAAGGTGTTTGATAAAAAGTTTTATAAAGAATTTTCTTTATTAAAAAGTTGTTTTCTGGTTTTTCAATAGCAGAAATCGAATTCCACTTTTAGGGTAATTGATTTCCTCAACTGTTTTTGCGCAAGATTTTTGAAAAATCAGCACAGGAAATCGATTACCCCAAATATGGAAATCGATTCCCTGAAGGCAGAATGCACTTTTTTGCTTTGTTTGAGACTGTTTTGGTTCCTTTTCTTTTTTCAACTCCTTTCTTTTGTTTGTTGCTTTGGATTGCAGTTTTAAATGTGAAATTTCTCTTTAAATTGAATGGACTCAGGATGTAGATGAAGTTGGATAAACATTCATTAATTCAAATCTATCTTAGAGTGAATTATTTAATTCATTCTTGGTGATTTGAATTAGTGATATGTTTAGTACTTTAATCCATCAATTATGAGTGATTGAATTTTAAGATGAAAGAATTTTGAGGATGTGATCCAAATTAACTCCCCATTCTCTCCCTCTTCGTCTTATCCCTTTCTTCTTTCATTTTAAGTGATCATTTGTGGCCCAAGCTTTAGGCTTGAAATTGTCCAAGTATGATTGATTATTGAACCATGGTTCATAACCTTTGAAGGTTGTTATTATGAGGATTTGATTTTATCAATACTCTAACAAGTCTACATCAACTTTGACCTAAGTTAAATCTTCAACCATCATTGATCATTTATTATGGAATTCATCTCTTCTTCACCCCTTTTTCTTTATTCTTGTTTTTACTTGTGCTACATGTTTTAGGAGCTTGGTTTTTACCATGTGTCTAACATGTATGGTATATAGATTACTATTGACCAACCTTAAAATAGGTGCAACTTCTATATAAGTCCACTTACAATTTCTTAACATAACACTAAATTTGTCCCGATTCGAAAAATGATCATTCGTGGCCCTAAATTTTATGTTTGTATGCCCAAGTATGGTTGATTATTTATTTTGGATCCATACATATGAAACTTGTTGTTAGGAGGCTTTTATTTTATCAATCCTCTAATGAGTTTTCATGATTCTTTGGTCCAAGATCATCATTCAATCATCGTTGATCATATTTGTGACCATTACCTTCTAATTCTAACTTCTAACTCACTAACAATTAACTTTACTTTATGCTTTTTATTTTACGCCTTTACTTTTATGAACTTTTACCTTTAGCATATACAATTTATGATATTTGCCTTTTGTTCACTTGAGCATTTATCTTTATGTCATTTTTGTCTTTACTCACTTGAGCATTTATTTTTATATAGATTTTTATCTTTACACACTTGAGCTTTCTTTTTCTTTTTAAGACACTTAATAACCAACTTGAATATTAAAAGACTTAAGGATCTTTGTGGACTATTGGTTACTATCTTTAGCATATTGGAGTTGTGGATCTCTCGAACTTAGGATTAGAAGCCTTGCCCTGATACTTTAGAGACCTTGTTGCCTTGTTGTTATGTTGTCTGAAGTCCGTAGGATTTACTCTAAGGCATTTGGTTGATTTTATTTGTATGAAAGTTATTCTGATGTTTTATCTGTGATTGAAAATTCCTCTATATACATCCGTTACTCAACCCAATTTTTTTGAAGACATTATTTGATTATGGTTTCATTTGAGGCACAAGTTTATATGAGGCTTTCTTCATCTGAAGCTTGGTTTTATCTTGGTATTATGCTTGCTTGGTTCTTAATCCAAAGGATTAGAATTCTACATTGACTTCTTTATGTCAAGTGTTGACTTCTTGTTGGTTAGACATTTCCTTACCTTAGCTTTTACTTTGTGTATATATGATAGTCCCTTCTTTAATTTCAAAATCTTCTCCCTCTTTTTAAAAAACTCTTCTTGTTTTCAAACTTGAACCGCTTTCATAATAAACTTGGACTTAAGTCCATGCATTTTCAAAAAACCTTTTTCTTAATTAAACTGTAATCAATTTAATCATACTTTGACATCTTTTGAAAGACTAAAACTCATTAACCTCACTCAAACTTTTTTTGCCTTAGGGTATTTTTCCCTTTAACATTTTCATAAAGTTTAAGACATGAGTCTTTTTTCCGGGTGTTTGCAAATCTCTCCACTTTAACAAACATGGTAATATTGAAGTTAATTTCCATTTATATATTGAGATTGACACTATTGATTTGATCCAGGCTGTAAGTTCTCCATATTTAAGATGAAGCAAGTTCTTTTCTTACCATGATTGTCATAGTTTATTGGTTTTCCACCCATATAAGACAAAATGACTTTTACATTAAAACTAATCATAACAAACCAATTTTGGTCTTTTTTATCCAAACTACATATGTTTTGATTTCAATATTTTACATTGTTGGTATGTAGACCTAGAGCTCATTAGAAGCTTTATCAAATAAAAAATTGTAAAATATACTTATTTTCTCATCTCCCCAATCTTATTTTTGTATATACCTTTTATAGTCAAAACACAGATTTTCAAAGAGGTTCCTGCGGAGTACCGTAGATGTTTAGGGTGCTAATACTTTCTCTTTGCATAACCAACCCCTCTACCTTGATCTCTATTTTACTTTAGGTTTTATTCACTTTTTCTTAGTTCTTTGGATAAAATAAAAGTGGGGTGGCGACTTCATTGATTTTTACGAGTTAAGTCAATCCAATGGCTTAGTCTCAACTTTTCTACCGTTATACAGGCGCTCATGAAGAACCACCTAGGCTAACTAACTTGAAGGTAATTGAGGTTCGAGATAAGAAGGCAGAGAGCGTGACGACGACATGTCAGTGTGTTGCGAAGAAGGATATAAGAGCCATAGAGGCATGACTCTTTGAGGTTGGTTCTTCTCAGTTGACCCTCATGCAGATTGTGGTTTCCGAGTTACAGAATGTTATGTGGTACATGCGACAGATGAGGCAGGCAGTTAGACATACCCAACAGTTTACACTGAGACGCTTTATGTTTTTTCTTTTGTATTTTCAGACTCTTGTTATGTATGAATTACTTGACATTTTTTTATGATGAGTGATATAAACATTCTCTTTCCAACATTTTTTCAAACACTCACTTTCTTATTGGTTGAAACATGTATGAGTCCCTTACTTTAGAAATGAGTCCCACATAAAGTGGTATTATCTACACATGTTCAACCAATAAGAGAGAGAGACATTGTGTTTGAAAGAGTGTTGGAAATAGAGTGTCCCTAACACTTCTCTTTTTTTATTAATGTATGAATGCTTACCTTTCATTAACTTTAAATTTATTTTGATCTTACATTAATTTAAGTTAATGTATGAATTTTGGTCTCATAAAAGTTGAATGTTTGGACATTGGTGCTGGTCTGATGTGAATCAGGGAGAGTTTCAGAGATGTATCTCCGAAATAATCTCCCTTTGTATTCACCACGCTTTAAAAACCTTTTAGAGTACATTTCGGAAATACATCTCCGAATTTATCCAAATACCTTATGGAGATGCATCTCCGGACTATATTTTGTTTAAAATATGGTGAAAATCATAATAATATATTTTAGTTGTGATTTAAATATGTCTGGAGATGCATCTTCAATTTTGAAATTAATTTTTAGACATTATCAAAATAAATTTTTTTTACACCAATTTATCACAACCACTTATAATTAGTATTTTATATAAATTAAAATAAACACTTACAATTGAATGTTAGTGTAAAAATATTTTACACCGATGATATATTCCAATTAAACTCTTTCGTTTTTGAAAAGAAAAAGAAAATGCCATAAACACCTGTCCCAAATCAGAGGAAGACACTAGAAACGGAAAATCCGACGCTAAGCAATCAATGGGTAACGCTCACTCTCCTCCCACTGATCCTCAATACGTTTCATCATCCAGGTTCCTCTTTTTCTCTTGTTCCTCAATTCACATCTTTTCATAAAATCATTTTTCATAGATTAATCTACAAAATCATTGCAGAGCTTTCACTCAAAAAGGGCTTCAAGACTTAAGATCACTCTTCAATTCCTTAGCATCTCAATCACAGAGCAATGGGAAATTTATTTCTCCTTCAGTTTTTCAGGTAATTTACAATTCAGTGATTAATTCCCTTCATAACCCACTTGTTATCTTTATCTATAATACATGAAAAATCAAAAAAAAAAATTTTGGGTTATAGTCATATTTCAAACTCCATGGCCCTATTGGAGAGAGGATGTTTGATTTAGTTACTCAGGAGAGGAAGGATCAAAAGTTAACTTTTGAAGACCTTGTTATTACTAAAGTGAGTTCTTAGTTCTTGGTTATCATCATCATATCTTCATGTTTTGTTGCTATTGTTTTCAAAGCAGGATTTATCTAACTTTACATGTGTGTTTGTGTTTACATTTTTATGTTGCAGGCTACTTATGAGAAAGGAACAAAAGATGAAATTGAAGAATTTATATTTCGCTTGTTAGATGTATCTGGGGATGGTTTTGTAGGGAGGTAGAACATACTCATTTAAAAACTTAGTTCTATATTATATACTTCTGAAATTTGATTACAGGGTTCTGATCAGTGATCATACATAACTGTTTATTTGTTCAAAAATAATTAAGCGATGAAATCTGTCAATACAGATAGTTGTTTTTAATGATGTGTTTCTTTATTGTACATTTATCGTTTTGTCCGTGGATAAATTTTCAAGCTACGATGTTTAATTTCTCGGATTTAAACAATTTCGTGCAAGTTTAGTGGTTGAAGTTGAACCGTGTGATTAGTTCTAAGTGGCACTTATTTTGAGATAGTTCTGTTAGTCTGATTGATGTCCTTTTTATGTTTCTTAAATAAGGGACTTTTTACATTTTTTGGTCCTTTTTAAATTTTAAATCATGTTGATGCATGTTGAAGCATGGTCTTGGATAGAACATTATGGCGAAAGTTGACCTATGTAGGCAACCCCACGTAGTGGGATAAGGTTTGGTTGTTGTTGTTGTTGTTGATGCATGTTGCATTGGTGATACAGTTCTGATTTGGAATCTTTTATGATTGATGCAGGTCGGATTTGGAATCAGTTATGAATGCTATCTTTACCAATATGTTATGCAAAGAAGGTTCTGAATTTGGATCAAGTTCCCATCAAGATATTGTCAACATATTTCTGAATGCTGCCAATTTCTCCATACATGATGAAAATTGCACTGAGGAGGCTATGTCTTTTGAAGATTTCAGAAGTTGGTGTTCTCATCTGCCAACTGTGAGGAAGCTTCTTGGAAGCCTGCTTTTGCCTCCTGATTCAGGTCTTGCGGCACTCGACTTGCGATATTTTTGGTATCAGCTTAATATCTTATTTGCTTATCTAAAATGTGACTTGACTTAACAATTTTAACATTAAGGTCATGGAGTGATGAGCATGCGCAATTATGAACTATGGTTTTTGTTTAATTCTCTTGGCATTTGAGTTTCTTACTTGTAAGTTTAGTTGGAAATTTGTCATTTACAAACATTTCTTGCATGGCTCAAGTTTATTATGCGATCTATAGCAACTATGTTAGCTCTGGATGTAGTGTTGTATAGTATGATTTCTTGGACAAACCAAGCAAAAATGATTTGATATGACAAAAACATTTGAAATTTGGAATACTTATAGGTAAATCAATTGAAGTAGTTCACCATGATTAGAAGGGGGTATGGAACACATGCTGCAGAATCAGAGCTCAATGGTATGGGAAGACTTGGTTCTCCCTGAGAATCAAGTTTGATGAAGAAAACTCTGGTGCATAGAGGTCCGAGTGACCGACTTGTGTGGAATGATTCTCCATTTAGAAGAGGGATTGACTTGTAAATAACAAATAAGAGGGAGAGTTAGTTAGAGGGTATAGAAAAAGAATCTTTAACAGTTCCTATCTAACATAGGGAGATTGTGTTATTGATAAGACAAGTGAAGAAAATATGGGGACTTATGGCAAACTCTTCCAACCAATATAATTTTCTTATGGCCTAAAAGATATAATAAGCCGAAATTGAAATGGAATCCAGCCCTCCTAACTACCCTATTTATCAAATTTGCTCTTTCCCCGCAACATATTAAATTTCCTTTCCCGTTTTCTATTTACATGTTTGGGTTAGTTTAATTTTAGTACACCCTTTTTTTAGATAAAATGCTACCGGATTAGTTTTGAAAAAACTTCGGGGGTAAATGATTGCATATTATCTTATTCCAGTGTTTTGCTTTTTTTGTAGGACGACCGGGTACTCAAATTCCTAATCTACTGACTCCAAAGGATATTGATTCTAACACTGTACTTTTGAGAAAGGAGTATGCTTGGCATATAGGAGGAGCACTTTCTCAGCACGAGCTGGAAGATTGGAAGCTTTTGTATCATAGTTCTGTTAATGGTCTTAGTTTCAGTACATTCTTGGGCAACATTTCGTAAGTACATTTTCTTCCCTTTCAAGCATCCTACAATTAGATTTGTTGCTTGTTAGGTTTACAAGCTAATAGCCATGTCTAGATTTAACTGATTGACTTTAGTCGTGAACTAAAAACTTAGGAGCTGTGATGGTTCAATCCAACATTAAAGGCTTTTATCTATCATGACCGTAAAAGTTGGAACATGTAATGCAACTAATTCACTATTACCATTTTGATAATTGACATAGTCGTTTATCAATTTCTGTTGTTCTCTGAGGCTGTAAATGCTAAACGTCGTTTACGTTAATCCACTTATTTTTATCTAAGGAATGTTTCAATAGCTACTTCAACTAAACTCTGTTGGGTTGGAAATTTGGAATGCATTAAAAGCTCTTAATCTTAATTGCAGAAACCACAAAGGCCCAACTGTACTAATTATTAAGGATAAAGATGGTTATATATATGGAGGATATGCTTCTCAACAATGGGAGCGGCATGCTGAATTTTATGGAGACATGAAATGTTACCTTTTTCAACTAAATCCAAAGGCATCTATATTTAGGCCGACTGGAGCAAACAATAATCTACAATGGGTAAAAATCTGCTTCTTTCGAATATTCTAAATTGCTTTGTATGCTAAAACTGTGATAATCAAACTGCCCTCAATATACGACAGTGTTACAAAGTAGATTAACATTAATACTGCAATCAAAACAAATGTATACAAAAACAAGAACCATGAGGTGCTGTTTATAGAGTATTAAACCATGCGTCCTATACTCTTTGTTGATAATTATATATTACATGTATATAAAGAGAATATTTTCTAGCATATTCCTTAGTGTATTCTAGAATAGGATAGAATATCTATGTAATTAATACTAGGATTTGTATTTTCTCTTATATAATGCATCTTCCGCTGTGCTATTCAAACACACGGTTTATTCAAATGTCTCTTAGTCTCTCATATTTCAACATGGTATCAGAGTCTACTAAGAGACAACCCTTCGCCGTGCTTTACCCGGTTGACCCACTGTCTTCCGGTGAGAAATTTTTGGCAAACCGTGTCATAACTTCGGTTTGTCTTCCATACACTGCCGTGACTCATTTCGGCATCATTTTTTGAAATTCTCCGGTCACCACCGCACTGCCGCCGTTGTCCGCCACCGTTGCTATTGTTTTCCGGCGATCTTCCGGCAAATTAATCATATCGGCATAAAAGCACCTCCTCCGATCCCGACAATTTTTCCACTGACTCAATCGCCACCGTGCAACTGTTCCAGATCTGGTCTCAGATTGTATTTTCCACTCACGAAAAGTTGTGATCCAGTCCGAACATAGTCTTGTTCACCCAGTTCGTGTGATATTTTCTCTCTTCAGAGTCTCATGGCTAGTCCTCGGAACTTTACGCCAAACTACGATGACTTTCTCAGGTGGTATCAGTATTATCAGAACTCAAATTCTACTGCTTCGGTTGCCCACACTGGTAATTCAGCTGCTTGCCTCTCTTAATCATCTTCTCTACTTCTGGTGCGTCTGATCATGTTACCGGTATTAAAAATCTTTTCTCTTCCCTCTCTACTTCTGGTTTCTTACCTACTATAACTTCTGTCAATGGTTCTCAAACCCAATCCGAAGGAATTGGTACTGTTCAAATTCTACCTTCTCTCAGTTACTTCTGTTCTCTATGTACCTAATTGTCCATTTAATTTACTTTCAGTCAGTCGTTTAACTTGTTCTCTTGATTGTATTGTCACCTTCACTAATAGTAATGTCACCCTGCAGGATCGGAGTTCGGGACGGACGATTGGCGTCGGATGTGAGTCTCAAGGCCTTTATTACCTCTCAGTGTCATCTCAGACATGCTCAACCAAAGATTCTCCACTCACTATCCATGCTCAATTAGGTCATCCTAGTCTTCCAAAACAATAGAAATTGGTGCCAAGTTTATCGAAGGTATCTAATTTACATTGTGAGTCGTGTCAGTTAGGGAAACACACTCGTAGTCAATTTTTCAATCGAGTCAATAAACGAGCTTCGTCCCCTTTTGTTTTAGTTCACTCCGGTGTTTGGGGTCCCTCACGTATTGTCTCTACTCTTGAGTCTAGGTATTTTGTCACCTTTATTGATGATTTTTCACGTTGCACATGGTTATTTTTAATGAAAAATAGATTAGAATTATTTTCTATTTTTGAAAAATTTTATAAAGAAATAAAAACTCAGTTTGATGTGTTTATTCGTACCTTAAGAAGTGATAATGCTCGTGAATATTTATTCCAACAATTTCAAACTTTTATGTCCAGTAATGGTATTCTCCACCAAACATCTTGCTCTCATACACCTCAACAAAACGGGGTAGCCGAACGCAAAAACCGGCATCTCGTAGAAACCACTCAGATCCTACTTCTCCATGGTAATGTTCCTCTTCGGTTTTAGGGGGATGCTGTGCTCACGGCATGTTACCTCATAAATCGCACGCCCTCATCTGTCCTTAATAATAAAATCCCTCATTCAATCTTGTTTTCAAACTATCCTCTTCACCCAATTCCTCATCGAGTCTTCGGGTCTACGTGTTTTGTACACAATCTCTCCCCTGCTCTTGATAAACTATTAGATCGATCACTAAAGTGTGTCTTTCTTGGTTATCATCGATCCCAAAAGAGTTATCGTTGCTACTCACATACTCTACAACGATACCTTGTAACGGCCGATGTTACCTTCTTCGAGTCTGTTCCATATTTCGAGTCCAGCCAAGTAATTTCGGAACCCCTTCAAGAAAGTACTCCCACACCTCTTCCGGAAGTCCCATTTCCCATTATCCCCCATCATTCTAGGGAATTTGGCCCACTAGGAATCCCTACGGTTGACCCCCCCCCACTTCTCGCCCACTTCAAGCATATCAGTGTCGCCAACCCACGTCTGTCGCACCCATCCCTGAGGCAGTATCTGTTCCTGAGGTCATTGCAGATTCTCCTCCGACGCCTTCGCCATCATCAGATCCGATCCTGCAACCTGAGTCCGATCTTCCGATTGCCCTTCGAAAAGGTATACGTCAAACACGCAATCCTTCTTCACATTATATTAAGTTATGTTATCATCGTCTTTCCCCTTTGTAGTTTACTTGTTTGTCTTCTTTGTCTTCTGTTTCCCCTTTGCAGCTTACTTGTTTGTCTTCTTTGTCTTCTGTTTCTATTCCTAGGACTTCAGGTGAAGCATTATCTCACCCTGAGTGGAGACAAGCAATGATAGATGAAATGTGTGCTCTTCAAAGCAGTGGTACCTGGGAATTGATACCTCTACCTCCTGGGAAATCTGTAGTAGGTTGTCGTTGGCTTTATATAGTGAAGGTTGGACCAAATGGTAAGATCGATCGGTTTAAAGCTCGCTTGGTAGCCAAAGGATACACTCAAATTTTTGGGTTGGATTATAGTGATACCTTCTCGCCTATAGCCAAGATGGCATCTGTTAGACTTCTTCTAGCCATTGCATCTATTCGACATTGGCCTCTACATCAAATTGACATAAAAAATGTCTTTTTACATGGTGATCTTGAAGAGGAAGTATATATGGAGCAACCATCTGGGTTTGTTGCTCAGGGGGAGTCCTCAAATATGGTTTGTAGGCTACACATGTCTCTTTATGGTCTTCAACAATCTCCGAGAACTTGGTTTGGCAGACTGTAGTACAACAGTTTAATATGGTTCATAGTGAAGCTGACCATTCTGTGTTTTATCGTCACTCTGTCCAAGGATGTATCTATCTTATTGTATATGTAGATGATATTGTCATAACTGACAATGATTAGCCGGGGATATTCCAGTTGAAACAACATCTCTCAAATCAATTTCAGACAAAAGATCTTGGTAAACTCTGCTACTTCTTGGGAATTGAGGTGGCCCAATCTAGAGATGGTTTGGTGATTTCTCAGCGAAAATATGCTATGTATATTTTGGAAGAAACAAGGTTGTTGAATGCTAAACCAGCTGATACTCCTATGGATCCAAGTGTCAAACTGCTACCCAATCAGGGGGAGCCTCTATCTGACCCAGGAAAGTATAGAAAATTGGTTGGAAAGTTGAATTATCTCACAATCATTCGTCTGAACATTTCTTTTGCAGTTAGTGTGGTAAGCCAGTTCTTAAATTCTTCTTGCCAGGAACACATGGATGTTGTTGTCCAGATTCTAAGATACATCAAGTGTGCTCCAGGAAAAGGTCTTGTGTATGAAGACAAAGGACATACTCAGATAGTTGGATACTCCGATGCTGATCGGGCAGGGTCACCCATTGATAGACGATCCACCTCTCGGTATTGTGTACTTGTTGGAGGAAACCTTATATCCTGGAAAAGCAAGAAACAAAATGTAGTTGCAAGATCAAGCGCCGAGGCAGAGTATAGGGCCATTGCGATGGCAACATGTGAACTTATTTGGTTAAAACAATTGCTCAAGGAACTTCTAATTGAAGAAGCAAGACCAATGACACTTATTTGTGATAATCAAGCTGCATTGCATATTGCTTCAAATCCGGTCTTCCATGAGAGGACCAAACATATTGAGATAGACTGTCACTTTGTCAGAGAGAAGATCGAGTCAGGCGACATTGCCACAAGCTTTGTCAATTCGAATGATCAATTGGCAGAAGTGTTTACAAAATTCCTTCGAAGTCCCAAAACTAATTATATATGTAACAAGCTTGGTGCATTTGACTTATATGCTCAAGCTTGAGGGAGAGTGTTAATAATTATATATTATAAGTAAATAAAGAGAATATTCTCTAGAATATTCCTCAGTGTATTCTAGAATAGGATGGAATATCTATGTAATTAATACTAGGATTTGCATTTTCTCCTATATAATGCAACTTCCGCTGTGCTACTCAAACACACGGTTTATTCAAATGTCTCTTAATCTCTCGTATTTCAACAGTCTTCAGTGGCATTTTTCTGTTGTGAGAATTAAGGATAAATATACTTGAAATATTTGTTATAAAAGATGATTTCTTTGCGAGTCAGCATTGTATAGTGATATGGTATGAACCCTTGTTATATGTTGTGGACAACTTTCAACTCATGAACTAGCTTTTGACGTTGAGTTAGGCCTAAATCAAAAGACTAAAATAGTGTATGAGTTAATGATAGGAACAGTGGGTCTAAGGATGGCATTGAAAAAGGATCGGATTACATGTTATATGTGATCGGTGGATCTGGAACTGACTGTTTTAAAGCTGGTTCGCGAAATGTCGCGGTAAGCAAGAGTCGCCACCGTCTTTTATTTTCTCCAATCGGAAAGGACAAAAGCACAGAAAAATTCCTTTAAAGAGATTGCTCTCGGTTCGGGAGGTAGGTTATAGAAAGGGAAGGTGTTAGCACCCTTTCTATCCATGGTTATCCATGGGCTCTTAGATACTTGCTCATTGTGTTTTCAAAAATGTTTGCTTGCTTTTCAATTGTGGGTTTAAAAAGTTTCTTTGAAAAATTTCAGTTCAACTCGTACGTCAGAGTGTTTGAAAAGTTTGTTTTGAAAGTTTTTGAAAAGTGTTGGTGTGAAAAATCTTTTTTGTTTGTTTTTTGAAATTAGAGCAAGTATCCTTGAGAACCTACCTACCCTAAGGAATTCGTCTGT